TCTTGAACTACTCTTGATTTTTTTTTCTCAGAAGTTTCACACCTAAGATATGAGTTTATTAATGAAGCAATCTAAATGAAAATGCGCCTCTTCACTCGTAACCAAAGTGGATGAAAATTACCCTCTCATCTTCATTTGCAAGTCGCCCTTAAAACAGCAGAGATTCACGGGGGTATTTGTCCTGCATGATCTTGGCAATTTTAACTTCCCCGCTAATTGTCTTTTGGTGAATTCCCGTCCGCGGAGAGCTCCTTGATACACTGTGAGGGTGAATAACGTTGGGACTAACTAAGGGAACTTAACCTGATCTAACTTAACCTGGCCTAACTTAGCCTGACCTTTACGCCATTTGCCTCTGCCTACCCAGCAGTAATTGGGAACCTGGATCTTAATTGATTTGTGGATCGTGCTCCGGGGTAATGGTTAGCCAGTGCAGTTGGCGAGTTGTCCGGTCTTTCCGGACTATTCCTTGACACTGGGTCATGCAGCTCGTTAACTTAGGGTGTGGTTGTTGTGTTGGCGACAGCTTCTACACCTTAAACAAATTCACGCCTAGGTGGCCCTTGGGCCGGCCATCCTCGTTACACGAGGGGCAGCCATTATTACAGTATTATTATCGAACTGAACCGACAAAAAGAACTCACAGTAACATACAAACAAAGATGCATCAATTAAACTTAACATATAAGAACAAATCTGAACCCAATCCTATAATAAGACAAAATGGCGACGGAGAGGCACTAAGACTTTTATTTGGTCTTAGTCTCAAGGTCGGAGAGAAAATGGATTTATAACCATTTGAAGACAGGAAAATCAGATTGAGTCTGAGGCTTCCTTGGTAAATGGCGCATTACCGAATGTTCTAGTGAGTTGTGTGTGGTTAAAGTGTGTTGTGTATGGTTGAAGTGCGTTGTGGTTTAAGTGCATTGTGTTTAAAGTGCGATGAGGTTTAAGTACGTTCTAGCTTAAGTTAGGATAAGTATGATTAAATTAAGTCCGTTAGGTCAAGACAGACAGACAGACAGACAGACAAACAAAGAACAATAAAACTAAACCCGTATAGAATAAAAAACAAACAAATAAACAAATATAAAAAAAATGACTAAAATAAAAAAACCCAAAATATTCCCATCAACACAAAAAACAAATACGAAATATTAAATAAAATAAAGACAACGAAATATTTCACAGATACATCAGGTCAATTAATCTCTTGAAAATAATAATAGAAACCCGGTAGTTGGGAGTTAACACAGGCAATAGTTTTGATGAAGGGAAAGATTGTGCAGGAACGGTGGTGGATCAAACGCTGGGAATAATTAAGAGAAGGGAGAGAGGGTTTGAGAACTTTTATAATTGGTAGTTGGATAGATAGATAGATAGATAGATAGATAGAGAGAGAGATAGATAGATAGATAGATAGAGAGAGTCGCTCTATTATTGCCAACATAAGGTAGATAATATGCTCCACATATTTCTCGTCGCAGGATGAACAACATTCCCCACGTACAATAAACATGATATTACTATATGTCTCTCAGTCATAAAATTACATCCTTAGAACGTCCTGTATTTCGAAATTATCATCATTCGTTAATGTATTTCCTTATGATTTTATTTACCGCCTTTTCTGACTTAACTGATGTGAGTGTTCGATGAGGGATTTTTTTTTCTTACCAAGGGCTGTTAATTCCACTTAATAAAAAGGCTAAATTACCTCAATTGCGTTAACTATATCAAGCACTTTGGTCAGTAGAGGCGGTAATTTGACTCTCCAAATTACTCAACAATTCTAGCATGAAAAGAAGAGAAAAAGCAAATAAAGCACAATCGTAAAGGAAACTTAAAGAAAACACGATGATAAAATAGAAATATGAAATAACCCACGTTAACTCGAGTTGTCAGAAACAAAAATATATTCAGAATACGACAGCGATGAAATGCCTATTCCATTCTGCGGTCGAAATATAGCCAATTTTAACCTAAAATATAGCCAAACACCTAGCCAAACATAACCTTGAAATATAGCCAAACATAACCTTGAAATATAGCCAAACATAGCCTTGAAATATAGCCAAACATAACCTTGAAATATAGCCAAACATAGCCTAAACGTCAGGGTCTGTGTAGAAGCGGTGGATCACAGGAAAATAATTAGAGAAGTGAGGGAGGGAGGGAGGGTGCAACAGAGACAGAGATAGATAGATAGATAGATAGATAGATAGATAGATAGATAGATAGATAGATAGATAGATAGATGGACAGGGAGAGAAAGATAAAAAAAAATATTTTCCATATTTTTTGAAGAAGTGAAAAGCAGAAAACCTTTTACTTTTCAGAGAATTTGTGAACAGCGGAGTACGATTAACTGAACTGAAAAGGGAGAAGGGGGAGGAAGAGAGATAAAGAGAATATACACACACACACACAAAAAGAGAGGAGATATGATAGAGAGAATGCTATAAGGGAGGCGTATATACCGTACTCAAACATGAATATATATATATATAGCTCTGGGATTTGGTATACCAGACCAGGGAACATCGTCCAAAGTCACTCTTGTTGTTGTGTGGCGAACGGTAGCAAATTACTAAGGCACTTAAGAGAATTCGCATGACTCCTCTCTCTCTCTCTGTTTCTCTGTTGTGTTTACGTTAGACAGGGAGATATTTTGAAGGTTTCTCTTGTTTCCGATGAGATATTTAGGATTTTGTTCTCAAAGGGGTGTTTTTATTTTGTTTTTGTTAGCTAGGAGAAGATTTTTATTGGTTTCTTTTGTTTTTTAATAGATAATTATTCCCTGGTTCTCTAGCGGATCATTTTCACCTTGTTTTTGATACTCAGGAAGAGATTTTTACCTGGTTTCTACTATTCTAATTAGTTATTTATAGAGACTCTTAGTTCTCTAATTGCTCTCTACTTTCTTTCGTTATCTATAAAAATAATATTCCTTGGATCTCTGTACAACCATTTTAAATCAGAGAAATAATATAGACAATTCACCAGTTCCTTTTCCTCAATTTATCATGCGTTAAATGCGTAACGAAAACAACACAGAGGGAAAAAAGGGAAAAACATACTTGAATAAATAGGAATTGGGGAAAAGGGCAAAGAGGAATGAGGAGAATTGGGGAAAAATGACAAAAGGACAAAGAAGAATTGGGGAAAAAAGGACAAACGAGAATTTGGGAAAAAGGACAAGAAGAAAGCAGGAATTATAGCCATAAAGGAGAAAATGTTGAGGATGAATGTATGTTATTAGGAAGCAGAATGGCTGTGCGAGAAGACATTACCTGGGCTTCTGACATGAGAGAGAGAGAGAGAGAGACGGAAAGAAAAAGAAGACAGAGAAAAGTGTAATAAAAAAAAAGTATAATAATCGTGAACAAGAGAAGATGGGAGAAGAGAAAGGCTAACCAGAGACACATAAAAGGAAATGGCGTGAGGTTATGGCTTGATAAATGTGTGTGTGTGTGAGCGAGAGAGAGAGAGAGAGAGAGAGAGAGATCAGGTTGATAAATAGAAAATAATAATAATAATAATAATAATAATAATAATAAAATCATCAGTACATTCATAGTTAAACACACACACACAATAATCTCTCTCTCTCTCTCGTAATTGTCATAATGTTTCGTCTAATTCACCTTAACGCTTCAAAGGCAACCACGTAGACACAATAAACCTAATTCAAGTCTTCTCACTCGTCCACAATACAATAAAACAGACGAAGTTCCTTGAAAAACGAAAAGAAAAAATGAGATGTATGTTTTTCAATCGGTGGTGAATATTTTGTACTGTAAACGCCCAGTGTGTTGGTGGTGAGTGTGTTGAGGAGTGTGTTGATGGAGAGTGTGTTGAGGAGTGTTTTGAGGAGTGTTGTGTTGATGGAGAGTGTGTTGAGGAGTGTTTTGAGGAGTGTTGGTGGTGAGTGTGTTGAGGAGTGTGTTGAGGAGTGTTGGTGGTGAGTGTGTTGAGGAGTGTGTTGATGGAGAGTGTGGTGGTGAGTGTGTTGAGGAGTGTGTTGGTGGTGAGTGTGTTGAGGAGTGTGTTGATGGAGAGTGTGTTGAGGAGTGTTTTGAGGAGTGTTGGTGGTGAGTGTGTTGATTAATGTTGGCTTTCATTAATATTTTGTGTTTCTTTAATATTTTGTGTTTCTTTAATATTTTGTGTTTCTTTAATATTTGTGTTTCTTTTTAAATAATGAAGAATTACTGACTTCAAAGGTGGCGTATATTGTTAGGTTAGGTTAATTAGGTAGCACAGGTAAATATCCTTTAACATATCAACACTGATTTAACGAGACAAGTGACGTCGTATTTAACAAAAGTATACGGAAATCATACGGGATAATTCTTGCTTCAACGTGTGTATGATATTGCTGTATTATTGGTACGTTGTATTATTGAAGTGAATATTTATGCAGTATTTGGTGTATTTTTACAGGTGTTCGTCCAGGTGTATGAATGGTCGAGAAGAGCGTGTATAATCTTGAACTAGAAACAGGTGAATAACATCGAAGGAATAGAAACAGGTGTGAATAACGTTTAAGAACTAGAGACAGGTGAATAACAGTGAAGAACAAGACACAGATGAATGAAGAATGAAGATAATTAAAAGAGAACAGAAAAAGAGAAATCTAATTGTAAAACCGAATGAAATAAACTGAATGAATTGGATGAAAATTGAATGTAATAACGAAGAAAAAAAAAGACGATTAGTAGAAAATTAATTACCCAAGACAAACTTTGATTACACTAAGAAAAGGATTAATCATTAGTGTGAAAAAAAATATATATTGAAGATTAAAGAAAATGGGAGTCTTGCCATAGTGTATATAAAGCCTTGTGAGTCTTTAAAGGAAAAAAAATGAACTCTCGCTTTACATTGTAGAGGCTTTAGGAGATATAGGGAGAAGAGTCTATTCACCTGAGCTAAAAAGACTCGAACAGTCCAGAAGCATGATCCTCTTAGCCAGGTAAACAAATCCGTGAAGAGAGAGCATAACCATGAACTCCTCAGGCATGTTTGGAGATTCGCTTCTGGACCCTAACATGAGTCTCACAGATGACGTCAACCTAACATACTTAGACTCCACTGAACCCTTTGACGCTCACGGTATCTTAGCTGGGGTGATGACGAACTTTTCCCAGGCGACATTAGATCCCATCCTATCATTGGTGGAAGGAGGAGGAGGGGGAGGAGGGGCTATAGGAGGAGGAGTTGCAGAAGGAACAGCAGCCAATTTAGCAAGGATAGAATGTACATATGTGCATGAAAACAAGACGTTCTTCTGGGATACGTGCGTGCCCCTCGACGACCCCCTGGAGATGAGAAAACCTCACCGTGCCAATCCGAGCTTCGTGCCCATCGTGGTGACACACGCCCTCACCTTCCTGCTGGGGGTGTCAGGCAACAGCGTCATCGTCGTCTCCATGGCCAAGGATAAAGGCACCAGGAACGTCACCAGGTTAGTTCATATTACTCTCACTTCACCATTTTAGATATACAGTCACTCACTATCTGTTGTAGTGACGCCGAGGAAACAAAACAAAACGATCTCTCTGTGTGGTTTGTTTAGGTTACGTCACCAGGTATTGTAACCCTAAATAGATTCATGAGAACACCTTCAAAATGACTTCAAAACAGCACTGTGACTATACCTTTAGGCCCCAGATTCTCTAAGTTTCGTCAGTAAAAACATTCCCTCAGATTTAATACTACTGAGAATAAATCTGTACGGGTTTATTTAAATCAAAATATTTCTGAAATGACACTGAGATTATAACTAAATGAATATGTTGCTCCAGCGGGATAAAGAAATATTCATTAGTGAGGTTTAGGTCGGTCAGTAAAGGTGTGTTTGACAATGTTAGCAATGGGGGAAGGTTTATATGAAGGATGGTATAGTACACTAGGGTGCGTCTCTCTCTCTCTCTCTCTCTCTCTCTCTCTCTCTCTCTCTCTCTCTCTCTCTCTCTCTCTCTCTCTCTGTCTCTCTCTCTCTCTCTCTCTCTCTCTCTCTCTCTCTCTCTTTCTCTCTCTCTCCACTGTCCTGTCAATGTAAATTAGAATCCCAAGAATTTAAATATAATTTTTTTTCGCGTAGGACATCAAGGGAGATCATCTTAAGAGAGTGCACTTTTAATTAGTAATACCTGTTGTTATTATTATCATTATTATTATTATTATTAATGCGTAACTGGAAAGGTAAACGAGTGGGTGAAAAGAATCCAAAGCTCTGTCAGAAATCCCTAAGACTGAGCCACATGAGGCATACGTGGCATTCACCCATGGATTCAGGCATCACTGGAATTACCTGGTGCATATTATTCCTGACGTTGGACCTCTCCTCCGTCCTCTAGAAGAGTCATCAGACACGCATTTATTCTAACATTAGTGAAAAGTCACCACTTAACCCCAGCAGAAAGGTCACACTTTGCAATACCACCTTGTGATAAATGTACAGTATACATACACCAGGTGCCTACGAGAGAGTTCAGGCTCTCAACTGGCTCACCCATGTTAATATTATGATTTTTAATTGACTCTGTATCTGTGTTCTTCTGGCTAAATAAACTGTTTCAATATCAATACATAAGGAGGAATGGAAATCATTAACCCGGAGTAGCTTGCTTCCACTGAACATCAGGTCTCTGTCAAGCTCATGGCAGCCCTCACTCAGCACATAGTAGCTCAAAATGCTGCAAGTGATGTAGACTCCAACAAACTATGTAAAATTCAACTTTCCATTACGACAGAATGGCAGCATGTTCATAGGGAAAAACTTCAACAACTAATGCAATAACTGTTAGAGAACGCGAAGAGAAAACTAGCTGCAGCACAAGAGATGGGCGCCTCAAACAGGACAACTCTACCGATAAGAGCAAAGGGCTTAAGTCTCAACAAACAAGAATTTACAGACGCCATTGTTCTGAAGTATGGTTACCCAGAGGAACGCATGCCTGCCCAAAGCGTGTGTGGAACATCCTATGACATCAACCATGTCATGGTGTACAAGAAGGGAGGTTTCGTTTGCATGAGGCACGACGAAGTAAGGGACCTCACAGCAATTATGTTTAAAGAGATATGCCAAGACGTCACTGTGGATGGTGAGCGTTTTATCCACAGGACTGCCAACACAACCAGCAAAGCTCGTGTGGACGACAGTGCTCGAGGATTCTGGATGAGGGGACAGCGAGTCTTCTTTAATATCAGGATATTCAATCCTATGGCTACATGTCACCACGACCTGTCTCTCGAGGCTGCACACAAGAGGAACGAGAATGTCAAGAACAGTACGTATTGAAAGAGAAACCAAAACATCGACCAAGACAGCTTCACTCCTCTGGTGATCACAACATCGGGTAGGATGGGAACTAGTGCAAGGTGCTTCTATGCCAGACTGGCTGAAGTGTTATCAGAACAGAAGCAGCAACCCCGAAGTTACATAGTGGCCTGGTTGAGGTGTCGCCTGGCCTTCTCATTGATCAGGTCTGCTCTGCTGTGTCTCCGGGGAAAAAAATCATCGGCCCCAAAGCCAAAAAGAGCCGCAGACATACAGTATGAGACAGTCGTCACTGAATGCCGCATAGATGTGCAGCTTAACTAACTCAGCTAGGGTAGTTACTTTTGTATTAAAATAGTTAGAAAATAAAATGTTGAAGAAGGTTATGGCTATAAGGGGAAGTTGGAGGCCATTAACAGAGTAGTAAACAGAAACAGCTCGAATTGATAACAAGAATTAGAGTTATAGGTTATGTAATCATCTTCAATCACACGGACATTACTGTACTGTACTTGTACGTAACATTAACGTAATGTTTTATTCATCCGGTGAAATAAGCTGGGGTGGCTAATCTTCATCTGATCCATAATTCCTTTTCAATTTCTTACGGGAGTTTGAGTGACAGATTATAGTGTTGATGATTGCTATAATCACGGACAAGATTACTTGGTGTTTGTTTCCCAGGACAACGCAAACATTTTCACTTTCTTTCTTACTTGATGTTGAAATATTTGTTTTTCCTCGAAGTAAACGATGCTGGAGAGGATATGGAATATCCCAATTGTAGTTAATTAAGTAGTTAATGAACGCCAAAGGCTAACTGAGCGTTTCAATGCCCCTGAGGACTTTTGAAAAACATATTTATTGAAGAAAAAAATTATTTCTAGGAAATTTCCCTCCCTCCCACACACTCTCCCTCCTTACCCACACACTGTCCCTCCCTCCCTCCCTCCCACACATACTGTCCCTCCCTCCCCCCCACACACTTCCCCTCCCTCCCCCCCTCTCCCTCCCTCCCCACCTCTCCCCTCCCTCCCCCCCACCCCCACACCTCCCTCCCTCCCTCTCCCTCCCTCCCCACTGTCCCTCCCTCCCTCTCCCCCCCTCCCTCCCCCCCCTGTCCCTCCCCTCCCCTGCCCTCCCCTCCCTCCCTCCCCCCCCCCTGTCCCTCCCCTCCCTCCCTCCCCTCCCCACACTCCTCTCCCCTCCCTCCCTCCCCACTGTCCCTCCCTCCCTCCCACACACTCTCCCTTCGTTCCTCCTATATGCCTCAATTCCCACTCTTCCACTCACCCACCCACCCACTTACCCTACCTGCCCTACCCCACACACCTGATCACTTAGAGGGATCCATTTAAACCGATCACCTACTAATACTCGTTCTGATCTCTCTTATTTCCAGCTGAGAGACCGACGAGATCTTGGCTAAAATCTCAAAGTCTCGATGAGAGAGAGAGAGAGAGAGAGAGAAAGAGAGAGAGAGAGAGATTACCACGCGGCGTTGAAATCTTAAAGTTTGGTTTGTTGACAATTTTTAGGGCTAAGTGGGAGGAAGGTTAGGAGGGTGAAGAATGAAGGTGGGGAATGTGGGGAGGTGAAGGTGGAGTTGTAAAGTTCACCATAACCACGATAACGGCATCCAATCAGAAGAGAGTGGGACAGTGACGTCATGTGTTTACTCCTGGGATTCTAACCAATAGTGTTAATGGGGAGGGAGGAGAAATAGGGGGTTATAATGGGCTGATTGGAAATTGCCAATTGAGTGGGAGTTTTCTATGGAGAGGGAGTGGGGAATTAAAGATTGAGTGGTAATTTTGTATGGTGAGTGGGAACTGAAAGATACAATAGAGTGAGTGGATTGAATGATAATACTTGAGCCTTTAATGAATGGTGACAGCTGAATGAGTGGGAACTATAGGATGAGTGGGAATTATAGGATGAGTGGGAACTATAGAATGAGTGGGAACTATAGGATGAGTGGGAACTATAGAATGAGTGGGACTATAGAATGAGTGGGAACTCTAGGATGAGTGGGACTATAGAATGAGTGGGAACTATAGGATGAGTGGGACTATAGAATGAGTGGGAACTATAGAATGAGTGGGACTATAGAATGAGTGGGAACTATAGAATGAGTGGGATCTATTGGATGAGTGGGAACAGAAATAAGGATGGGAAGTGAGTGGTAGTTGTAATACCTGTCCTCCCCTCTCTACCACCACTCTAGACTCCTCACCCCTTTGGACACCATCACCCATTAGGACACCATCACCCCTCTGGACACCATCACCCCTTTGGACACCATCACCCCTTAGGACACCATCACCCCTTTGAACACCATCACCCCTTTGAACACCATCACCCCTTAGGACACCATCACCCCTTTGGACACCATCATCCCTTTGAACACCATCACCCCTCTGGACACCATCACCCCTTTGGATACCATCACCCCTTTGGACGTCATCAACCCTTTGGACACCCTTACCCCTTTGGACTCACTAAGCTGCCCCCTTTTTCTTCTGGGGGTACTGAGGGAAGCGGTGAGGATTAACTTCAAAGGCGTGAGTACATCTGCCAGGTGACGTGCGAGGCGGGGGATATTTACACGACCAACCTGGGACTCCCTTCATCATGTAAACAAAGGAAGTGATCAGAAGGTGGACGAGTTACTTGTTGTTGAGAGATTATGGGGAATTAACAGTGATGAGAGAGAGCAACCTCAGTAATAACCAAAACAACAACAAGAGAAAAACATAATACAACACTAAATACCAATAGCAAGAATAACAACAAAATAACATTATTAACAACAACACTAACAACAGTATAAAAAATGTTTCGTCTCGGTATTGTATTTCCGCGCTATAAATCTGGACAAAATATATATACAACACAACCCGTAAGCTATTTCTATCACGTATGTTTTCAGGAAAGTTATTGAAAGAAAAAGTCGATCGTAAAACTCAACCACATAACCTGGATATATTTTTAATATCTCAAAAACAATAGAGAAATATGATACTATGAGGTAATGTGATATATCAGTATCATATAACCTTAAAATGTGTCATAATTCCCTCTTATGGTGATTCGAAGCCGGGATTATCTGAACCCGAGTCCCAAACTACCAGAAAAGGTGTAATTTACTTCTTATTGGTCGAGTGATTATCCCTTTTCTA